TCACAGCTCACAGCAACCTCAAACTCCTGGGCTTAAGTGATTCTCCTGCCTCAGCCTCCCAAGTGCTGGGACCACAGGCACCTGCCATAACGTCCAGCCATCTTTTGATTGCAGTTGTCATTGTTGTTTAGTAGGCCTGGCCCAGGCTCGAACCCACCAGCCTCGGTGTATGTGGCTGGCACCCTACCCACTGAGCTATGGGTACTGAGCCAATTTTTTCTTATTTTCTTTCCTTCCCTCAACCTATGCCTGACTCAGTCTTTTTCTTTTTTCCCCAGGTTACTCTTCTCTCTCTAAATTCTCTTTCTGTGTTTTCCTATTTGCTCACGTAAGTCAGCGTTTCCTCTTCTCATCCTTCCCCTTGTCCTTCCTTCCTTTCCCTTTCTCTCTTTCTCTTTCTCCTTTTCTTTCCTTCCTTCCTTCCTTCCCTCCCTCCCTCCTTCCTTCCTTCCTTCCTTTCCTCTCTCTCTCTCTCTATGTCGCCCTTGGTAGAGTGTCTGTTGCATCACCGTTCACAGCAACCTCCATCTCTTGGGCTTAAGCAATTCTCTTGCCTCAGCCTTTCAAGTAGTTGGGACTACAGGCGCCCACCACAACGCCTGGGTATTTTTCGGTTGTAGTTGTCGTTGTTGTTTGGCAGGCCCAGGCCAGGTTTAAACCTACCAACCATGGTGTAGGTGGCTGGCCCCCTAGCTGCTGAGCTACAGGCACTGAGCCCCCTCATCCTTTCTACCCATCATCTCTTCCTGTCAATTCCCTCTTTTGTCTCCACTAATACCCAATAGCTCTGATTCTCATTCCCTTTGAGGATTTTGAGATTGTGGTCTAGGAGGAGGACACATGGGTTTAGATACTTATTAGCATGTTCCTCTGCAGTATCCTAGGAGATTGACCAAACAAACTGCCCAGAGAATGCAAGCTAGGATGTAGGTGTTCTAAGTCTTGTTGTTTCCTCTGTTGTCTGAGGTAGGCTGGGAAGAATGGTCACAACTGTTACTAGTGTAGTAAGGAGGGAAGGAACAAAGGGTTTGGGAGTGGAGGGACTGGCAGGGGCACTGATGATGATGTCTGAGATTAAGAGAGCTTGGGTCTTAAGTATTAACTTCTAGACACATATATGAGATCTTCAAGGATATAGATAATTACTTCTCTAATACAGGTCAGAAAACACAAAATCAGGTGGGAAGTAGCCCAGAGCTACAGATTTCATCCTCAGTTTCCAAGTGGCTTCATGTTACCTAGTGATGGACTTTGGCAAAG